CACGGGGCAGAGGGCCCGGGAGGAGCGAGCTCTGGGTCCTGTGCCAGCTGGTGACGGCAGTGGCACCCTGGGTGTCAGTCCAAGAGCTGGAGAGGGGCTCTCAGTTCTCCCCGCGGGAGGTGATCCCGCTGGGTGACAGCCACCTCCGTGCCTGGGACAAGGACGGCAGAGCGCCCAGAGCACCCAGAGCCCTGCGCCGGGAAGACGCAGGGCAAGACCTGCCAGCCCCAGGGCCAGGCACGCCCAGGAAGGAGACCCCAGCTGTCTGTCACCACGCCCTCTGGCGTGGGGACCAAGGTGGGGCCGGCCTCCGTCTGCCCTGCACCCAGAGGCCCTATGCCCCCCTCTGGCCACGTGCCCGGCCAGGCCTCGGCCGTCTCAGGACAGAGGCGACTGTTGGACTGAGCTGGCCCAGGAGGGCTGCTGTGGGGAGCTGGCTGTCCCTCTCCTGGTCTCCTCCTGGTGCAGCCTCCGCGTTTCTGTGCCCGCCTGTGGCCTCAGCACTGGTGTCTGATGTGGCCTGGTCACGTGTCAGGCTTCGGGCCAGCACGTGGGGGACACTGGCTACCCTCACGCCCAGGCCCCACTCCCGGGCAAATCAGCGCTGAGTGCAGAGGGCACACGCTAGGGGCCAGGCAGAGTGGGACCTGAACCTCGTCCTGTGACACTCCAGGGTCGGCCCGAGAGCACCGTGCTGGATGAGCAGGCAGTAGTGACCACAGCCCCGATTGTAAGTCCAGTTATCATGGGTATGCCTGGCAGGGACACTCCTGCCACCGGCCCTCCTGGTGCCAAGCGTGGGCAGCAGTGGGTCCGTGGGTCCTGGTCCTGGGGGTGCCACGTGGGACACAGCACCCGCCTGGCAGCAGCACTGGGTGCGGTGCCCTCCCCCCAGGTCCACCACTACGGCCCCTCGAGGCCGGATAACATGCTCCATTTCAGAGACCCACACACTGAGGTCCTGGGGCAGTGGGCCCGTTCCCAAATGGAGGACACCTGGCCCCCGACTTTGAATGTCAAGACCAGCCTGGGCCAGGGGGCCGCTTCCCACCACTGGGCCACGCTGCCAGGTGACCAGAGACCACACTCCCCCGGAACCTGGGCCTGAAGGCCAGCACAGTGTGGAAGAGGTGGCCAGAGGGAATCCAGGCCAGGGCAGGAGCCGCTGGGCAGGAGCTACGTCCCTCTTTCCTTCAACGTCTGTGTGAGCGACACAACGTCAGCAGCACTCAGGGGCGTGGGCAGCATGTGGGCTGGCCCTGGGTCTGCACTGGACCCAAGTGGGGTGTGGGGCAGGACTTGCCTGCTGCCTGGTCTCTGCAGGAGTGTCCCTGAGCTGGTCCCAGCAGTCCCTAGGGTGGGCCTCCGAGTCGCCCCAACGGCTCTCACTGCCCAGCCCCCTCACAGGGGCCCCGTGTCCGCCAGGAGGCTGCTCGGACGGAGCAAGGCTGCGGTGTCCGCATGGTTACGTGAGGCTCCACAGCAGTCCTCAAGGCAGAGTGGGGGCTGGGCGGGGTGGAGTGACCGCTTCCTGGGGCCAAGGGGAGGCATCTGGAGGGGCCTGTGGCAGGACTGGCTGGACAAGAAGAGATACCAGGGAGCGGGCGCTGTCTCTGTCCAGCCACCCCGTGAGGGCCCCGAGGGCGGGCGGCAGTTGGAAAGCCAGTACGTGGCCTTTACCAGAGCCAGACCCCCGCACCTCGCTCCTGCGTCCTCGCCCCCAGGCCCGTGAGCCACCAATGTCTGCCGTGGAAGCTGCCAGGTCTGTTTTAAAGCAGCAGCTGAGCTGGCTGCACGGACGCTGGGCACTGCACCCACTCTCCCCACACTGTGTCCCGAGTCCCCACCTCGAGGTCCTCGGCCCCCTGTGGTGCTGCCGGGAGGCAGGGCTCTGGGAGGGTGAGGTCCCGAGGGTGGACCTCATGCCCTGGTGAGCACCCTGACAGACAGCCGCCTGTCCCCTGGCCCCGTGAGGACATCTCTGCACCAGGAGACGGGCCTCACCGGCACAGCTGGGCCCTGCGTGATCTCGACTTTCGGGCTCAGACTGCAGGGCCGAGGTGGCGCCCCCTGCATCTGTGTCCCAGCCAGAGACTTGTGCTCAGCGCAGACTCCGCCTTCAGGAGCTGGAGAGCAGAGCCGGGTGGCCCAGGAACGGCAGGGCAGCGCCCTCGTCCGGCACCAGCAGTGGACGCGGGTGCGGCCTCTGGCTTTGCTTTGCACGGGGTCCTGCACCCACCTCTGCATCCCCAGAGCCCCATCTGCTGGCCTTTTAATCCCAGCAGATGACCCCCCACCAGCTCCAGGGAACAGCCCCCTCCCCCAACTGTCAAAGCCACCAGGACCTCGGGCGCAGAGGCTCCAGCTCCACTGTCACCTCGCTCACACTGTCACACTGAGCATAGAGCTCGGTCCCAGCAGCTGGGCTGGGAGCAAATAACCCGCTTTGTTCTGCACGAAGTGGACACGCGGCTGAAATCCACCATCACGCTATGATTTCAGAAAATTGATCCAAGCAGACAGCTAAATGGGGCTCGGAGCTGCCTAACGTGACAACCCACCTGAGGCTCTGAAATGTCACCCGCACCAGCAGGAGCCACCACGGAGCCTCCAGGACCGGCGGGCAGCTGGGAAAGCCCAGCTCCCCAGGAGCACAGGGCTGTTCTGGGGGGGCTGCTGCACAGGGAGCCCACTCCCCGTGGGCGGCCACGGCCAGGGGCCCCGCGTCCAGGCGGGACAGGTCTGGGGCTCTCCCCGTCTGTGCGTGCCGTAGTGAGGCCAGCCGAGGGCACGAGGAGGGCACCGAGCCAGGAGAGGAAAGCCGATCCGCCGAGGCCAGGAGAGGGTGGCTGAATGAGGATCCACGCCCCTGCGCCCTGCTAATTGCACTTGGCAGCCGGGCAGCGGGCCAGGGCCAGCTTGTCTTCTCACTGCGGGTGGGTGAGTGGGCAGGGCGCAGCTCCCCATCTCCCGGGCTCACCAGGCTCTGCTCTGCCCTGCGGCTTCACCCGGAAGGAGTGAGCTCCCCACTGCAGAGCGCGGGTGGCCTCTGCAGAGTGGCAGGTGCCCACTGAGCTCGCACTGGATTCCCCACTCCAGACGGGCTCACCTGGTCTCCCTGCCATGGGGGGGGGCAGCTGGGGAGGCCAGGGTCGGCCAGGCTCAGGAGGACAGGCCCCCTGCCCACATTCCTCCCTGGAGCAGGGCTGGCCACTGTCTTTGAGGGAGAAAAGTAGTAGGTACCCAGCGCAGAGCAGCTGGGTGGACAGTGCAGCCCTGTCCATGGCGCTGTGGGTTAACAAACGCCATCTCATCCCTGTGGGCCCCGGCTGACCAGGCAGCCTTACTGCCTGGACCATCCAGGCCAAGATCTGACATCTGCACCCCCAAGAGGACACCTAATGGGGGCTCGGAGAACATCGGGATGGAGAGGTGTGACCAGGGCACTCACTTGGACCTTGGATATTAATGGGCCAGGCTGTGGATCTGTGATTAACCAGTTAGCTGTGTGACCTTGGGCAAGTCACTTGACCTTTCTGTGCCTCAGCATCCTCATCAGAGATCACAGACCTCCCTACGGCTGCTGCGGGGTCCCTGAGACAGCCCGTGCAGAGAGCACAGGCAGGACCTGGTGTGGCCGGTCCCCACGGCAGGCCATCGGGGAGAAGCTATTTCAGACAAAACTCTGAGGTTGGTCAGGAGTAAGGGAGAGTCGTGTGACACACCCTGTTGGCCAAGTTGGCTGGTGACGTGGGAGGGCCAAGGGCTAGCGGTCAGGCCCCGGGCTCAGGCCCTGTGAGGCTGGGGTTCGGGTCTTCCTCTGCTGCTCGGCCTGGTGTAGGGTCACAAAGGCTCATGGGCTAAGAGGGGCCACGGAGCCACCTGCCTGTCCGGTCACCGGGGAGGGGTCTCTGCCCACTACAGGCTCCGTGGGCACCTGCCACTGGGAGGGCTCGCCACCCCCCCAGCTCTTCTCTGAGGAGATGAAGACGAGGGAGAGGGGGAGCGGAGCGCGTGTGGGGGGCCAGGGCAGTGGGCAGGCTCTCAACAGCGGGCACCCCACAGGGCTGCTCAGCAGCAGGTCCCGGGGCCCCGGTGCAGACTGGGCAGAGCAGGACGGTGCCTGGATCTGCAGCCTGTTGTCGGGTTGAACTCGGGGCCTCAGAAGGCTCTGCCTGAGCCGCAGCCCAGCCCCTGCTGGCCGGCTTCTCTGGGGCCTCCAAGATGTGGCAGACGGACACGGCACATGGGGGAGTCTGTTCCCACTGCCACAAGGCTGGCAGGGGACAGAGCCAGTCGCGGGCCCCCTGCCCGCCCGACCCTACCAGCCACGCTCCAGTCACGCGGGTGAGTCAGAGACGGAGGCTGCCCAAAGCACTGGGCGGTGGCCACACAGGCCGAGCCCACCGTGGCCCACTTCCAGCCTGGGCAGGGGGATCGGGAGGCTGGTGTCCAGCCAGGAGGGGTCCTGCCTGGGCGGGGCCTGGAGGAGGGAGGAAAGGCAGGGCTGACCACTGCTGAGGTCCCCAGGAGGGGCGGGGGTCTGCAGCGAGGAGCAGCGGGTGAGAGGACGTCAGAGATGATTGCCCAGGGCCCAGGAGGCAGGAAGGGGGCGCAGGGGGTGGGCAGGGGGTGGGCTCCTGTCCCTGCCCGCAGCCTCACTGTCCTCAGCTGTGAGGGGGGTGAGGCATTGCCTGGGGGATGCGGAGGATGGGGTGCTGTGGCCCACACACCTCGGCTCAGTGGCCCAGGGCCACCGAGACGCCCACCTCGGCTGGAATGCTGCCCAGCACGGGCAGCTCAGCACCCGGGCCACCCCGCCCGGCCCCCCGCCCGGCCCCCCGCCCGAGGCCCGTGAGGTGGCCTCTTGGGCTGAGCTTCTCCGAGTCCTTTTTTGCCCACTGAGGGGGATGACCGCTGACCCCAAGGCTGGGCTCACCCTGCCCCCGTCTGTCTCCTGCTGTGACCGGGGACCCCGTGTGGCGGGCCGCAGCCAGGGCTGACGTCCCCTGGTCTGAGGCCACAGGACCCGAGGGGCCCACTGGAACCTCCTCTCGTGCCCAGGGGCCTGGCCCACCACGAGGGCCAGCTGCAGCTGAAGTCTCAGACCTCAGAGGAGGGTCCCCATGGTCCCCAATCAGGAGGTCAAGGTGGTCAAGGACTGGTGTCCGCCTAGGTCAGGGCTGGACAGGGGAGTCGAGGGCCCACACTTGGAGAGTCACGGCCCTGGTTCCCAGGGTTGGCAGAAGAGCCCTGCAGGTGGCACTGGTTCAGGGCTTGCCCGGGCACTTGCCCGCTGACCCTCTTCTGGCCCAAGGCGCTTGTCTAGTTGGGAACCCAGCGGCGGCCTGTAGGACCCAGTTTGAGAACCAAGGGGTGACGATGGGTTTTCAGACACTGAGGCCAGACTCTCTGCTCCTATAAAGGGCTGGTCCTGGGCCTCTGTCACCAGGGGACCCCCAGGCCGGGGGCTCGGGGTGCTGCTGAGCCCAGCACAGGGGGACCTCACTCTCCCAGGTCCCTCTCCAAACACAGCTTAACCCATCTGCCCTCTTCAGGGGCAGGCGCTGCCTGCGTCCACTCGGGGCTGACCAGGCAGGGACCCTGAGGAGAAGGCCGTGGTCAGTGCACACACAGGGTGTGGCAGCCCCTGTGCGGCCTGCAGTTCTTCCTGCGGGCGGCGGGGAAGGTGCAGGGGTGACCTGCTGGGACTTAAAAGAGGTGACCTCTCAGTGACCAGGAAGCACCAGCGCGGGCCCCTGGAGCCCGCCCCGCCCCAAGGCTGTCACAGTCCCTCTTCCGGCACAAGGAGCTGGGAACACAGTCACAGCCCAAGGTTCCTCCTTCACCCTCCTTCCCTTCCTCCCCAGGCCACCAGGGTGGCCAGCGCTGGCCAGGAGAAGGAGAGGACACCCGGGCACCTGGGGCTCTCTGCAGGCCTGGGAGGCCCAGACCCACATGCCTGGCGGCCACCTGACAGTGACTGTCGAGTCCGTGAAAGTGGACGAGTCTGCAGGCTCACTGGGACAGGGCCGTCACCAGGGGCCACCGACAGGGCAGGGTCAGGGAGGGCACAGAGTCTGGCTCTGCCAGGGCCCTAGTGGGGCACAGTCGGGGCCTCTGGGGCCAGGGAGAGGGTGGACTGAGGGCGGCACCCGGCCACCTGGCTGACCAGGAAAGGAGGCCCTGAGGGCTCTGGTGGCCTGGGCAGCCATCACCAGGAGGGTCACCCTATGTGCCACTAGAGGGTGCTGGCCAGCAGCCACACAGCCCCAGGGGCCCCAAGGGACAGCGAGCTGGCTGGTGGCCCAGCTGGAGGGGGCTCTGATGGGACACCGCAGCCCGGTTAGCTCCCCTCTAATGGCTCATCGGTCCTTTGGTCACTGGCGGACACACCTCTGTCCTCCACGTGGCCCCTCTGCCACAAACGCTGCCCGGCCACATCCTCAGAACTAGGTCCCTCAGGGCCTCCTTTCCTGGTCAGCCAGGTGGCCGGGTGCCGCCCTCAGTCCACCCAGGCCTCCAGCTCTCCTGGGACGTTCTCCTGAGTCCCCTCCCTGGGGGGGACTGCCCTCTGTGCCCGGCCCCAGCTCCTATGGACGTGAGCCCCTGGAGATGACGGGCCTGGTGTCCAGTGTGGGGGTCACAGCCTGCCGCTGCACACGTCCCAGACACCCAGCTGGCCAGGCCGTGGTCAGCCCAGTCTGCAGAGAAGGGAACGGACGGCACTCTGCTGACCAAGGACACGGGCAGGGCCCACCCCCTGCGCCCAGGAAGCAGCTGGGCGGGGATCGGACTCCTGGAGGAGGAACCCGCCTGGCTCTGGTGGCCGTGCAGGCCAGTGGGCAGGGCGCAGGACGGCTGCTTGGGAGCGGGGACCCCGGGCCCCTCCCGCCCTCTCTCGGGGCCTCAGCTTCTCTTCCTTAAAATGGGCACAGGACACCTGCAGGGAGACCAGGAGGCTCCAAGGGGAGCCCACGCCCCGGCCAGCCCAGGTCCGCCTCCCCCACGAGGGGCAGCTGTGGTCCTCAGCAGGGCCACTCCCAGCCTGGCCAGCCTGGTGCCCTCCTGGGCCTTCCAGGGCCCCAACGGGTCAGAACCGCCCTCTGCACCCCGGCAGCGCCGACCTGGTGCCCTCCTGGGAAACCCCACCTGCGGAGGCTCCGAGACGGAGAACCCAGGAGCAGGGACCCCGGGTGCGTGGGTGGCCGCCCTGCAGGCTCCACTTACCCCAGAGGGCCATGAAGACGGAGAAGAAGACGGTGGCCGGGTTGTCAAAGAGGTGGCTGGCGCGGGCCGTGGCGCAGGCCGAGCTCATCTTCCAGTAGCTGCAGGTCTTGTCACAGAGCGGGCACATGATGATGTTGTGTCTCTGGTCACACATCTCCATGCTGCAAGAGAGGGGCCGCTTGGACGAGGCCCCTCCTGGGGGCCCCTGCTCCTGGACCACAGGGGCACTGTGAGGAGCAACAGCTGGTGGCAGCTGTCCCCTGTCCCTCCCTGCCACCCAGGGCCAGCCCAACCCGGAGTCGGCAGGGCCCCTGCCGTTCCCGTCTTAGAATCCCTAGGAATTCTGAACCAGGGTGTCACATTTCATTTTGCAAGGGGTCTTGAACTGCAGCTGGCCCCATGAGGCCCCCCTCAGACTGGCTTGGGGCAGGACGGTCCCCTGGGTGGCCCTCGGGCAGCAGCCTGCACGCCAGCCACCTCCGCCACCTCCAGAAGTCTTGGGTCTTGGCGAGCCTCTCCCTGTGGCCGGGCAGTGCCAGGGCAAGTCGGTTGGGAACGGAGCCCAGGCCAGGCCTTGGAACTGAAGGAGGACCAGGGTAGCTGGGCACAGTGGCCACCCCTGGAATTCCAGCCACTCAGGAGGCTGAGGCGGGAGGATCCCACGTTCGAGGCCAGCCTGGGCAATTTAGGGAGACCCTGTCTCAAAAGCTAAAAGGGCTGGGGAGGAGCTGGGGGGAGCACCCCACTCAGTCCCTGGGAAGCAGGCCGCCAAGTGCTTGCGGGGCCCTGTCCCCAACACCAAGGGGGGTAGAGGAGGCACCTGGAATGCTCCCCAGGAGGCTGGGTTACAAGGAACACGTCCCCAAGGGGCTCCACCTGGGATGGTGGCCCTGGTGGGTGAGGCCTCTGATCTGCTGTGCAGACAGGCTCGAGGGGCGGCGAGGCCAGCAGCCAGGCTCTCCCCCTCCACTGACTCCGAGAGGCCACCCGCTGGTAGCAAGAGCCTCAGCACTGGCCTGCGTGGAGTGTCCACCTGGCTGGGATCAGCACTGGGGATTACAGAATCGATCCCACCTTCACAGATGGGAAAGGAGCCCAGAGAGGGGAATAAGTTCCTCAGAGCCACACAGCACAGTGGACTTGGACCTTGGTCTTTGAGTCTTCAAAGTCTTCTCAGGGGCCATGGGGGTGGGGCTCCCGCCGAGGTGGGGCGCTAGGCTGGGTCCTTGCTCTGCCGTCCTGCCTTCTGGGACCCTGGCCAAGCCCTCTAGCTTCAGATCTGTTTTCTTTATGAACACCAGGAGGGGCAAGAATAAGGCCCTTCCGGCTGTGGCCTCCCCGACCCCTCCTCCCCGTGAACCTGGCCCAGACCCTCATCTAGGAACAGACCCCCGGCTGGAGCCCTCGTCCCCAGAGGTCGGAGGGAACCTGGGGCTGAGCTGAGGTCTTGGCTTGGTTTCCTCTCGTTAGGTTCCTGGAGACACAGGAACCTGGGCACAGACGCACACCTGGCCCACCGCGGCCACCAGCTCTGGGGACCTTCCCGTGCCAGTCAGGGGACATCTGGCTCACTTCCTTCAGCTACAGTCACTGGACCTCCATCCCATGCTGCACCCAGGCCCGAGGGGCAGGGAGGTGGGAGGGGCAGGAGAGGGCGTGGCAGCTGCCCGGGGGCATCTGGGGAAGAGTGTGTGCCTGTGGGGACGTGGGGGCTGGGCGTGGGGACGTGGAGGCTGGGCGTGGGGACGTGGAGGCTGGGCGTGGGGACGTGGGGGCTGGGGTGCTGGGCCGACTGGCGCGCAGGCAGGGGGAGGAACTGTGCTCTGGAGCCGGACACTCTGGGATGGATCTCTGAGATCCGCCTGGCCCTGGGAAGGTCACTCTACCTCCTGTGTCCCAGGGTCCCCATATGTGACGTGGGTCTGATAATGTGTCACTGGATTGTCGGGAGGACCTCTGCATCGGGGCTGGCATGTGACTGCTGTGGTCACCGTGGCCACCCCTGGGAGCTGGGGTGATCCCGACAGAAGCCCAGGGACGGCCTCGTGGGGCACCTAGTGCCCTTACTGAGCTTCCCCTCATCCAGGGCCTCTTAGGGAGGCAGCGGGGACGCAGGGGGCAGCACATGCCCAGCTGTGCCTGACCTGAGCCCCTCGGGCAGGGAGGTGGGTGGCAGGCCGCCCGACCGTCTTCACTGACCCAGGGCCATAGTGGCCACTGGCTGGAGGGGTCAGGGAGGGCTGACCTTGCCCAGCCTGGTCTCCTCCCTGCCAGCCTCAGCTCCTGGCAAATGCCACCAGCCAGACACAGAGCCTGCTCCTGCTGGTTCTGAACCCAGCCGAGATAAGGACAAGGAGCTCAGAGGTCGGAGGTGGAGGTTGGAGGTCAGAGGTTGGAGGTGGAGGTTGGAGGTTGGAGGTCGGAGGTGGAGGTGGAGG